TTTTGGGAAGATTTATTGCACAGTCGGCTGGATCAATCTTTACTTCATCACCTGCAAGGTTTTAAAGAGTCTTCATGGACTGGCACCGTAGTGTCTTATAGATCATTTAATCACTTGCAGCCCTACCAGAGCTCTAAGGTTGTCAAACCAGCTATTTTTACAAGTTCCTAGATCCAGGAAAAAGTAGAAAAAAAGAAACAGCAAAAAAAAAAAAAAGTCCATTCTTGGTTTCAGCACCAAAACTCCCTTTTCAAGTAAGATCTATCCAAACCAACTACTTTTTATTTAAATTCATTAAAAAAAAAAATAAAAAAAAAACTATTTGCTTGGTTTCAGCATGGTTGTGAAGGGTCTCAGGGTTGTATTTTAGAGCCGTTTCTAATGGTTTCATTCTTTGGATACACTTTTTTATAGATATAAAAATCCCTATTATTGTATGCATTTCTTTTTAATTAGCCTTCACAAAAGGTTGAAGTAAATTAGATCATTTCAGATGTAATTAATAAAATTAATAAGTGAAATAAATCTAATTCTGAAACCTTTTTGGAACCACGACTATCTTTAAAAAAATAAAATAAAACGCAAAATCTGCAATTATTTTTGGGTTCAAGATAATCAGAATTTAAGACATAATCTCTTCTCAAACAAATGTCAACTAAGATTATCATTTTTTACCATTTATCATCTTGACAGATATGGAGCTCAGTTGGGGAAAACTTAGACTTTAGACAAATTCAGCATTTGCTCCTGAACTACATTTAAAAGAAGCCCAGAGACAAAGGAGCATATAAATTATATCTCTCCATTCTTGTTAACACCAAACCGAAGGCAGAAAAAAAAACGGTCTGGTGGGGAGGTGAAGGTGTGGAGAAACACTAAGCCCATTTTCCTCACATAAAACTTCTGTCCCCTGCGTGCCCCCATCAGTCTTAGTGAAGACAGATGAGAGCCCCTCAGCCTCAGGATAGGAGCTCAAGTCAGCCATTAGCACGCCCAGGAGACCTGTGAGGTGATAACAGAGCTGGACTATAGGCTATGTAACAAGCAACATCAAATAAGCCACATAATGCATCTAACGTTTCATAACGAAGCATAATTCTTTCATTGTTTACTTGAACAACGTTAGAAAGGTGACTCTGGGACGGATTCTCGGTTCTTAATCTCTATACTGTCGAACACAGTGCTGTTCATAAGCTTACAGAAGTGTAGTAAATAAAGTTCAGCAACTGCATTTGACCCAAAATATACTCTAAAAGTTAAAACTTTCTAGTGAAATAGTCAACAAACTGAGGGAGCCCCAACAGGCAAACTGTCTTGAATATGATTTACGTCCACTTAACAGAAGAGCAAATGCCATGCTACTCAACTTACCGAAATGCTCTGAAACATCAGTTAGCCTAAAAAAAATAAGGAAATAGTTTTGTGATCCTGTATAGTCAACAGAAGTCAGCTTGTTCAGCTGGAAAAACTAACATGGTATAGAAACAATCTGCACTTGTTCCTGGTGCCAGATCGGATGACATATCCGGCTTTTTTACCCCCAACCCCCCAATCATCGCGTGGGATCTCACAACGGACTCTTAAGAGCACAAATTAACAGAGGCAAGGTTTGCCAACAAACAACATGACTCATTAGCAATGATGGACAAATGTAAATATCACAATGTTGTCAAGCTTTTTGAGCAGTCGTTATTAAAATTCGTCAAGGTGTGAAACATGAAAAATGCGTAGAAGATTAAAGAGCTTTGTCAAGCATCCACACTTGTCCTCTACACTTTTAATAATTCTTGCAAACAAAAATCCACAGCCATGGCGGAAAAAAGGCAAACATTAATGTAACCGACTTTGTGGAGTATTCATCTGCATGGACCAATCAACAAAGGGCTCAAATCGTTATCTGTTTATTTGAGCTTATGGGCCCTGGTCAGAGGTAAAGTATATATATATATTTTTCCAAATCAGGAAATGCTCCACACATAAGCCATCCAACAATCTCCAGTGTTTAAACTGTTAGCAACGTAAAATTAAAGCTCATTTAGCCCTTGCTACTATCACAGATGCTCTGAATAAAGTTTGAGAAAATGTAAAACTCTTCAACAAAAGTAAATAGTTTTTCCTTTAAAGGAGTGTTGACTCTTCTATTGAGTGTTTTCAACAAAGGTGAAGAAAAAGTGGCGGTAATCCGAGCTGAACATTATGAATGCAACGCATGCAGAGAGTTTTAATAAGAGGGAAGGATCATGAGTGAATTTCTCACACGTTTTTGACATATTTGCACTCAGCAGTGGGCGTCGTTTATCTCATCTGTGCACGCCCTCAGCAGTGGCATCTTCTCTTGGCGCAGTATTTGTCAATGTTAGATAAAGGCTGGGTAAGAACACAGTAGCAACAGAAAACATCGCAATATGTCGTTGAAAACAAACCCTGAAAAAGAAGCATGATCTTTCTAGGTGCTTGGCTTTCATTAACTTTTAAAATGTGTATTTAAATGTCTCAATTGCCATATTAGAGAGCTGCTTCTGCTGCGTCAGCCAGCTCATTTCAGCACAAAATTCCTGCATAACTTTCCAAATTAAACACAGAATACATTTAAAAATATTGGTCATGGACTGCCCTAAATTTCAAATATAGGTCTTGGCCATAGACCAGTATGCAACAGTCAACCTTCAGTGCACATTTTCAGATATAAAAAAATGCACAAAAAGATAGTTACACCCTGTCTTGTAAAGGAGCAGATGAGATGTACTACAAGTTATTTTGCAGAGTTTTGCACAGATGCCAGTGTTTCATAATCTGAATAATGTTGCTGCACTGTAACTTTGGACTGGTTTCAAGAAAATCACTTTTGATTTTTCAATCTTATTGTTAGGACACTTATATTTTCAACCAGTTCTAATAAAAACATGATGTTAGCATTTATAGTTCTTGAAATCAACTAAAAATAAGAACAGGCAGTTTCACCAAATCGGTTTACTGACATTTGTGTGACATTATCTCTTGCCATCTGGAGGCTGAGGAAAGCTGTACAAACATTTTAACTGCCGTCTCACGAGCTAATGTTTAGCTTTCGGTCATTCCTGTTTTACTTTAACTGAGCAAATGCTTCCTGTCAATGTGTAAATATGCCAAGTTCACCATAAGTCACTTCTAAAAGTGACAAACTGTCTGAAGTTTAAATTGACAAAGGTTAGCAAATACACAAACATTCACACCTTCAAACTTCCTGGTTAAGAACAATGGACATTTTTATATGCACAACAAAACAACCCAAGTTGAAATGCCAACATTATGCATGCATGGTGCATTTTAAAATAACTTGCAATTATTTTAAAATGCATAACGCACGAGTAGCAAGCTGAAGTTCTGCTTAATGTTTAAAAATGATCAGGTACGCATCGACATGAAGACAAATTCACTGCTTAGGCATCCGAGAAAAGTAGCTTCATGCAAGGATAGGAATTAATACATAACGCAACTCAGTGGTGCGGAGAAACCTAACCGCAGTCATGAAGTCAAACTAAACCTCAACAGCAACAAGAAATGTCCAACTAAAACATCCTGACGGGTTTTTTTTTTAATTTATTTTTTTAGTACAATTTAATTTTCTGTACATTAAATTATTGTATTAGTGGCAATAATGCAAATGCAAATTAAAGGAGGAAAAAAAGAATCAGAGGCCAGGATTATGTGCTTTCCAGGTAAATAGTGCCATTTTATAGCACAATCACATAGCTGTGTTAACTTCAGTTGTTCAAAAATGCTAGATATATCAAATTTGACTTAGAATTTTATTTTGTAATTTATGAACACACATTTATTTAATATTTTTGATAATCTTAACACTATATTGTGTAGTGATTTGCAAATCTACTGTCATGCTTAGTATAACTGAATTCAAATATGGATCTTTAATTCTACAGTTTTCAATACTTTCTTTCTCTGTTGCTTCCTCTACTTTCCTCTTTCCCTTCATTTTGAACTCTACAAGTGTCTCCCCTTAGTGTCTGCACTTTGTAACTACACCTAATTTTTCAGCTTACCACGTTAAAGTGCTGTTCAAATATTTAATATAGCTGGTTATTTGCAATGGAATATGGATCCAAATCCCATCACCGTCTATCCCAATAAAAATTAGGCTCAGTCACATTCAAATGATTGCAAGATACAGCATTCCACCCCTTATGTACATGTAGGAATCGAAATACCTACATGCAACATTTCTACCACTTATATAAATTTGGGGCATTATGTCTACATAGGTAGTATTAAATTTATGCCAATTCCGTTATCTTTGTTGCTTGTACCCGACTTGCAAAACGTTGTATGCACACATTACCATTAATAGTTTCTTTCTAGTTTAGCTAGTAACGACCTTTAAAAAAAAACAAAAACTTTTTGCATTTTTCGCTACGTTAACCCTTAGGGAGACCGTTAGAAAATTACACTTCCATAGTTTACTGAAACTTGACGTCTACCTTGTCACCATAACTATTCAAAGTCAAAGCTCGTACCTCTGAATTTAACTCATTCAAACGGCAGATAACTTTATACATCTCGTTTCTCAAAACGGCATGAAAATTTAGGTTATTAACAATATGCTTACTGGTTCATTTTGAACCCTGTCCAGGTCAAGTACGTTCCTATAGCGTCTGCATCGCACGAAGTACAAATTATGTTGCCTTCAGTCGAAAGGGGAACACGGCTACGCATGCGTAAAATTGCGCAAACGGCGTAAAGTGAGTGTACGTAAAATGGGTGGGAACTATCTTGGTGAGAAACACTAACTCTTTGTTAGTGTGACCTAAACATCTCTTGTTGAATCCGTGTATGCGTTTCAGCTGCGAGAGTACGACAATAAACACGCGCCAGTTCTGCAATTATTTTTTTAAAGGAAATAACTCAAGAGGAGCTGCCCCTACCGCTTCAAACATAGCGGCTAGAACTATTGCGTAATCGTAACAAAGGCGTCAAAAATTAATGGCTGTGGACAATTAACTCACCAGCGGATCCACCGGCTATAATCTGATGGGAGGCTTCGCGGAGTAAGCTCCTTGGCTTGTTGGTTGTCATTTTTTTTTTTTTTTTCCTTTTGCTCGTCAGTGAGGTCTCAACTCTGGGAACGTGGAGGAAAGCTGTTAAGAACCGTGCATTTAACCCGTCCGAAATAAAGCAGTTGAGCTGTAGTTGTGCTTTAGTGTTACAAACCTGCCGTCTCCAGTTGCTACGATGTTATTCAATGCGTGTCTAGCTGCTCAAAGTTTATGCTCCTCAGCACGCGCTAGACTGCAACGGTGAGATCTCTCCGCGTGCCACCGGCTAACTCCGCTAAGCTAACATGGAAACAGTTCCTGCCTATATGCCTCAAATATGCCCTCTTATGTCCTTTTTAAAGCGCTGTTTTGTATACATGTTCATGTCACAAAGTCCATTTTACAGTCTGTACTATAAAAGTTTAAAACACACAAGGAACTCAATTTATTTTAATGACGTTAAATTACGGTTAGAAGTGTTTATTGTATTGCAAGTAATATCTTGAAATGCCTTTGTTGTTAGCTTGTAATTTGAAACCCCGGTACACGTGAGCTATACCTAATTATACAATTTAATATGCAAACATTCTGCTGATTTACTTCTTTGTAAGGTAGCCCTGGTGTGAGACCCTTAATAACAAAAAATTGACCATCAGGTTCCAAATATTTGTTGCCGTTAACAGGTTGCCTATTTTGATTGTAGTGTGAAATTATCAACAAATATCTAGATTCAAACAGTTATTTAAGATAAGTTAGCATGTTCAGGTGTTAAAAGTTTGATTAAAGTATCAGGGGTGGAAAATTGCAGGTTAGCTAATCTTACCTCTACCAGTGTAGTTTTTGCTTGCTTTTGTACACTTAGCACAAACAGTAAGGAACCTAGATTGTTTATTGTTATGTTTATTTTTTATTTTTGGTTAAAATAAGACAATATGAGAAGTGGATATCTATAAAATTGCATAATAAAAAAGAAGCATATGAAAGAATAAGCTGGTTTACTGTTTGTTTTTCCCCCACCCAAAATATGTGGTTCTCTGTTAGAAGCACAGGATTTTTATTTATTTATTTATTTATTTTGCCTAATAGGTTTTAAATACCAACCTTTCTCATTACTTATACAGCACAAATAACGGAGCCAGTAAAAATGGAATAAGGGTTTACTGTAAAAAAAAAAAAATGAAAAAGCCCATCTGTTACTCTGCATCTTTGCTATTAAATAAAAAAAAATGATTTAAACGCTTGTAAAGCAAGTGGTCTAGGCTGCATTTCAGGCCCAAAGAACAGAGGATTTTTTTCTTCTTTGTTGGTGAGAGATGAATGCTCACAATAATTCAGCAGTGAGCCTTATAATGAGTTTTCCCCTTTATAAGCGAGCAACTCAGGAACAACAAGAGTTTCAGACAAGCTATAAAAATCTGGCATTTACAGCTTAAATTTGGCAAGAAAACGCCATTACTACGTTGACCTTCTTGGACAAGAAAAAGCCGAACAGCACACAGGGTGATTATTCGGTTAATGGATTGAAAGAATGAGAAAAATTTGTTTATAAAACTTGTTTTTTTTTTTCTCTCAAGAATTATTGCTGCATGAAATTTCCTGAGTTTTTGTGTTAACTGCTAAGGCAAGGAAAATGGCTTTTTTGTTTGGTTTGTTTTTGTTTTGCATAGAAAACAGACACTTTTACTAAATTCTTTTGTGATAAAACACAAGTTTATGGGTTTTAATTGTTTAATATCTGAAAAATTATTCAGGAATAATTGAAGTAAGAACATATTGCAACAGCTTTTTAAATATATTGCTAAACGATATTTTCAAATTTAAAGTATCAGTGTTGACAACTAGGTTAAGTGTTTCGTCTCAGCTGCACGCAAAGCCAGAAATTTCTCACTTGGACCGATGTTTCGGATCAATCAGTGTTTAGAGGACAATTTTTGTAAATCGTGATTTTTTTATTTAAAGTTGTGGCATTTCAAATAGTCAATGCTGCCTTAGATCCACAGCATCACAGATCATCTGCTGTGCTTAACAATAGGTATGAGGGGCCAAATAAAAACAGAAAACAATTTTGGTGTCGACCAGCACTGAAAAACTAACAATCTTTCAAAAATAATTCATTCTTAACAGATTGTTAGATGAAATGACCGGTTACTTAAATTAAAGTGATTTCTTAACAGGAGATAAAACTGTTTCTTTCTTTACATTTTTCAGCAAATTTTTTTTACTGCAGAAAAAGATAAACATATTTTATTTTATTAAAACATGTGCCACATGTGACTGGCACCACAGAGGAATATTTAGTGAAGGCGACCGACAAAAAGCAACCAAGCTCAATTCGTGGCAAGTTTATTTTCGAACAACACGCATGAAATATTTGTTCAACGCTTAAAGGTTGTTGTACCATTTAGTTTATTACCCCACATGTGCACAGGCAACATAAACAACCATAAAAAATAAAAAAAATCAATCAAAGGAAACATACGTTGTAATTAAATTACCCGAGCAAACCTAGGTCTTCTAATGAAAACATTGCAATTATGGAAAACCTTTCACAAGTCCCAAATTGTTACAGAGCAAATAAATTAGTAATATAAAAAAAAAAACACAAGTGAAACAGTGGTTAATCCAAAGTAGTTCAAGTCTTTCAAATGTTTGATAGCTCTTTGTTCAAACTGTCAGTAAAACAGTGAGTGGTCTTAGCGTTGGTCACTGCGGCACAGGAAAACGTCACAACGTCTCGTGTTTTGCTCCGTATGCATCGTAGATGGCTCACTACTCTGTTCCACGTTTCACTATGTTCCCTTGTGAACCTTTCCTTATCAGCCCATCTAATTCTGCAAGGCCTACATCTGGCTATATCGAGAAGCTTATATAACCTCAAAGAACAACAAAAGAAAAATCAATTTAACCCAAGTCTCTTAAGAGTTAAAAAAAATCTATAAATCTATTAAAAAGGCAGTTTTCACTTATTTTGTTTGATTTGGCAGTCGTATTGATTACCGTTATCTACCGACTATCTTTATCTACAATGACCTTCCTATACTCCGAGTACAAATATGTGACAATTATAATGTATTTGAGACAAATAATTACAGTTCCTTGTAAAAGTATTCATGTCCCCTTTAACTTTTCCAGATTCTGTCATCCTGCAGCCGTAACCTTCCCATGTATTTTGTTGGGATTGTAGGTGATATGCAAAGTGGTGCATAATAATGCAAGTCAATTAATACGTGGCTTTAAAAAATATTTTCAAAATAAGCATCTAAAAAGTGTGATTTGCACTGATTGGTAATCTGACACCCCACAATAAGCCGTCAGAGGTCACGTTACAGTTTTTGTGGAATCCAGTCTTGGATTAAGTCATTATTTTGTCTCGTGTCTTGAGTGAAGCCTCAAGTCCAGAATCTAGTCCAACTCCTGGACCTTTCATTTCAAGTCTTTTGACATTTGACCAAATATGTAATTTTATCACAGGGTAGAAATAATTGTTAAAATATTTTTAAATGTTTCGGTTTGCCAGAACTATCAGCAAGAGGAAGTAAACTTTTTACACTAAACAAAACTAATTAGATTAAACGGTAAATTGAGAAAACACGTTAAGTGATCCATACTAAAATAAAAATCCTTCTGCTCGATAACCAATAGGAAAAAAAAAAAATGAGTTTTAGAAATATTACACGAGTTACATCAAATGATTTAAATACCAAACTGAGGTATTTTTGGTTAAATTTGTTGTGATTCAGTTGCTTGTATTAGACATTATTCTGGCAGCCATACACACCAGTGTGGTTCAGGCCAACAGCTTACAGGACAATACATTACTTTGTGTAGCTCATAAAATCCCAATAAAATACATCATAGTTAATAACTGTCACATGAGAAAATGTGGAAAATTTCAAGGGGCAGTAATACAACATTAATAACTATATCACCACATGCCTCTTGGCCTATATGTTCAAGCAGTATCCTAAATAAAATGAAAAGCTGTCTGTCGCATCCATGGCGAATGACTTCTGATGCAGACAGAAAACTGAGCTGTTTGTGACCGATAGTACCTCCAATTTTCTAAATAAATAAAACAAGTCAAAACAGAAGAATTGTGTATCTTCAGTCTCGATTTTAAAAAAAGAAACAGCAAAAACTCTGTTCTGTAAGGATAAAAACTCAGGATGCGGTGCATGCCCGGCCTCTTCCAACAGCAACTGCGGCCATGAAGCCTCTCTGCTGCTGCTCACAGCAGGGTCGGGCCCTTGGTGGTGTAGTCCATGGCCGGGAAGTGCCGGCTGTCCACGTCGCAGTGGCCGAGCGGCTGGTGGGAAGCCGACGGGACGGCGGGGTTCCAGTGGTTGATGTAGCTGGCCATGAGAAGAGTCAGCTCCAGTATCTGAGGCGGGGAGAAAAGGGCGAGACAGATCACAGCGGACCTAATTGCTTTAACATCACGACATGAACGCATTTCATTCGAGTCCGGGGAAGGTGGCATGTCACGTTTGCTCCGAGACCATAAAAACTTGAGAAACCCAAATGATCTTCCATCAAGAATGAAGTTACCCCCATTAGCCTCGCCTGGAGGGGTAACATGACCCCCGTCTTCAAGCTCCACAGACTTTCATGCACAAAAACAGAAGGAAATCTGGTCTCTTCATTAACAAAAAGGAGTAGTGTGAAGCCTGTTTTTCTTCCATAAACCTTTGCCTGTTTTAAAAAAAAGTTCTTGCCTTAAAAGATCTATTCTACAAACCCATACTTTCACATTTTGTCACCTCCTTAAATGACCTTTTTTAGCCACCTCAGCATAATCTCCTGCCTTCTAAACATTACGCACTCTTTTATTCAAGAACTGAATAAAGTCCTTACTTGCATGCAAAAAAGAACCGATATGTAAAAAAAAAAAAAAAAAAACAGAGAAAAGAACAGCAAGAACTTGACATGGCTCATCAATGAACATGAACTGAATAACATCATATGTGCGTGTAAAAGACGACTCAATATATCTTTAAAAAGTACAGTGAGAACTTGGCGCAGTCCTTCATTATTATGTCACAGGGGTGAAAATTAGTTCACGCCACTTTTCAAATGCAGGGTTGAAATGATCAACCCATAATCCACGATGGCAGGTTTGCAATGTGAAGAGAAAAAAAAGTTTAGATTCTGCGCCAAGCTTGAGTCAGTGCAGAAAATGCAGAATAAATTGTGTAAATGCACCATTTACATAAAATCCTATTTAATATGGTAGAACTGGGTTTTATCCTTCATGCGTTTCAATCCCAGCGTTTGTCCTTTTTGATTCTCATGATCTGCCTGAACAAAAACACAGCGCAATGCTGTAACGTGAATTCTAATGTTAAAAAGCAGAGTCGTTGGGTTATAAAGTGCAAAAACAACCCTCTGTAAAAAAAAAAAAAAAAAAAAGCGTTTTGTCTACACTTGCTTTGCTAAAACTGCAAAGAAAACATGGGTTTAATCAAAGAGTCATATCAAAACAGAGAGGAGGAAAGAGAGCGTTAGCCTGCAATTTCTGCAAAGTCCTCTCTAAGTCAGGATCCTTACCAGAAGCAAAATGCAGAGGGAGAAAAAAAAGATTTTGTTCACACATAATTAACCATGCTATCATCAAGATAATCAAAGAGTCATATCAAAAGGAGTGGAAGGGAGCTAGCATGTATATATGTTAAGAGTGAAATTTGTTCTCTTTCTCAGAGCAGGAACAAAATTTGTGGCTCAGAGACTCTGAAGTCATTTTGTTCTTGCAGGCCTGAAAGACAATATTCAGTGATCTTGAGGGGCACATGTCGCCATGCTAGCCTCTTCACTTTCTCAGCAGAAGTGAATGAAGACTGTTTGTGGCCTTAGCATAAATGATGAGGCTTTGTAGGACGTATTTGAGGCTCTCCAGAGATGCAATACATGAATACATAAA